ACCAAAAAGACAGCAAGTCAAAAGGTTATTTTCACAACGTGGAAACCCAAAAGCTGCACCCAGCTTATGACTGATAGAGCATTGGTAATTATTTACCATTAATAAAGCCAATAGTTACTAAGACGTACAGGGATTTGTCATTTTGCACACTTTGCTGCAGCAGTATTTTATATATATATATATATATATGTATACAAATGATGCACTTTATCAGCTCTTGTATGATCTGTCTCTTCTCATGCACAAACAAATGTTCAGAATCCAGACCCTCAGTCACACAATGAACTTTACACAACAGCAGTGATGATGAAGTCAGCCACACAATGTTTCCAGTTAATTAAACTTAAGGCGAGAACACTGATGGGTAATTTAACAGCGACTCAGCTGTGTGATTTACGCCTCATCAACAAACAGCTGTTAAAAACAAAATGACTGTTGAGCAACTCAAAATGAATTCCATTGACCATTTAGTTCCTCTCATTTTAAGTCCCTTCAGTAGTTTTAAGGGAAGTCATGTTATACCGCACTGCTGACAGTGTCAGATATAATCTGTGTCATCTTGTGCCAGCTCCTCATTTGATGTTTCGAGTGAAACAGTCAAACCAGGCAAGACTAAATGGAAATACATGTCTTGTGCATACTTTTACTCACAATTCCATAAAAGTCATCCTGACATATTTTGGTATCTTTGGAAACTTTGGCATCTCCACTAGAAATATGTAAAGTAAAGTAACGTTTGGCTTCACAGCGTGAGGTTGTACTGACATACACCTTGACTCCTTTTTGGATTTTTCATTCCAAGTGAATGAGCTGCAGCCGCAAGAATGCGTAAAGTGAACCACACAAACAAAGCATGTTTGGACTGAGAGGGCACCCATATGACCACAACCCCTGCGTCGCTCTCTCTCTCTTTCTCTCTCTCTCTCTCTCTCTCTCTCTCTCTCTCTCTCTCTCTCTGTCCCTCTAAAGAGCGCAGGTGGTGGTCCTCTGCAGGCAATAAACCTGCAGCAGACTGCCCGCAGCCTAAACATTCCTCTGTAATAACTCCGGGATACACAGGCTGTTCCCTGCACCTATTCCAGTCAACCTCTTGTCTGTATCTGCTGGGAAGTGTGACCTCATTGAAGAGCGGAATCTCCCAATGCAGCATTTCTTAAAAGCAATGCTCCAAATCTAACAGACATGCTTTATGAAACGATGTTCCTCCCTCGCAGTTTAAGGTCGACTGATGGACTCGGGTCATTTTCCAACAGATAAAAACCTGCCTGCAGCCTTGAGATAATTTAACTAAACCGCTTCCCAGATCCTCCAGTAAATGGGAATTTCCTTCTCCATCCGCTGACATAATCTTTATAGTGACCAGCTGGGGATCTGCTCTATTTCGAGATAATGTCACACACTTCAAAAACAAGCTTGTGTAGGAAACTAAACAATTTTTTTTAAGAAAAAAAAACTCTAGGCAGGTTTTGTTTTTGTTTGAACACCACAGGTCTAAATATGCATGAAACATGCGCTTTGTACCGGGATTTAAAACCACACTTTCAATCACACTTTTGCCTTCAGCATGGACTTACTTCTCCCACGCTCCTTCATGAAACTAATAAGATCCTTGTAGTATTTGTAGTCGTCCTCGTATGGCTCGGCCTCCACCGTAATGTTCATCTCCCCCTTCAGGTTCAGGTAGATGCCTTCTGACAGAAAGTAGTGCGGCCGGTCGTCCTGCCGCAGGTCATGGAAGATCACCACAGCCCGGGACGTCCAGTTGAAGTGCGTATGCAGGACGTTGGCGAAGTCCCCGAGCTTGGTGGTGGACGGCCCGCTGCGCACGATGGTCCGGTATTCCTCTCGCTTATCGAAGCCGTACGCGGGTCCTCCGGCTGTGATCAGTGGAAGTTTCCAGTGGGACGCGAAGCGCCCCACGGAGGCAAGCGGGTACACGCACCCTGGTCCGAAGAAAGCGTCCGGACGGATGTAGAGCTTGGCGTCCACAGCCACGACCTGGGCCCGGCTCTCGGCGCACGAGCCCGCGATGGGGTCCTCTGTACTGTAGTTCAGGATGTTGATGAAGCGGCCGAGCAACAGTCCGTGTTTGCCGTGCAGGTCCTCGCGCGCCATGAGGATCGCCGGGAGGACGCGCGGCAGAGCCCACGGGTACTTGTGGTGGTTGTCCGGGAGCATCACCGCCACGGTTATGTTACCTCTGCAGCCGGGGAGGAGGCAGCAGGACAGCGCAGCGAGCAGGCAGCATCCCAGCGCGCCTCTGCATCCCATTTCTCGTCCCAGTTTGGAAAGTACGGTCACGGAGAGCGCACAGTTTGGAGAGGAGACACGGCCGGCTGTGGCGCCCTGACTCTACACCATAAGTATCCGTCTATCTCACTCTCTGTCTCCTTCTCTCTTTCTCAAACGTCAAACAAAGTCGGTAAGGGTATCATCCTGTCGTGCCAGCGCGGCGGTGCCATGCGTCTCCGCTGCGTAAATCCACGTGAAATTATCTTCCTGTACTTCCCAAAGCGACTCCTCCAGCGCAGCGTGGTCCTCACACTGACAGACTCTCGGAGAGTGATAACATCCATCCAGATGACTGCAACTTAAATCGGAGCAGCCTTCTGCTCGGCCCCCACGCGTCACACACTGCAAAAAAAGAGTCCACCTCCATTAGTCAGTTGACCAATTGGGAGTAAAGTGATTATCCCTCAGGTAAATATGTTATATAATAAGGCAGATCCTGCCTGACATGTGTGTTTCTAAAAAAACAAACCACAAATGAAACTGCACCGGAGACCAGAGGATGATCATGTTAAATGAAAAAATGTGACTGTAAATTGAAGTGCGACTGATTGGATTACATGTTAAAATATTTTACAGGCCTATTTATTCCCCTCTTTTTGCAGTGTATGAATTAAACTCTAAAAACGGCCGTGAGTCGCCCCCTGTCTGCCATTTCACACAGTGCAGCGTGGGTCGGCTACTGTCTCCTGTGCGTAATTACTGCTAAACAATTGGGGATTATTTTAGGGGGCCACGCACGTGCAGCTTTTAATGGGTTTCATTGGGGTTTTTGTCGGTTGGATTTAATTGAGATTATAGGTGTCATCTGATGTATTAAATAAGTGGCTAACTGTTGATTGCGCTGTAGCTTGGTTGTTGATTTGAGTGACACGCGTGGCAGCGCACCAATCAGAGTGACTGAACTGCTCCTCCTGCTGACCTGTGAGTGGATGATGGCTCAAGGGAAAGTTAAAGTCCCCCTTTGCTTATTGTTGGATTAGTTGGATGTTTGACACTCACTGTGCAGATGTTTTGACACTAGAAGTCTGTTCTAACGTTCGACCTGCTGAAGAGGTTTCTCTGTCCTCACCTTAAACCTTAAAAGAAACACGTGAATGTAGCGTGACTTTGTGACATCACAACTGGTTGAGAAGCCATTGTGGTCCAAGTGTATCTTAATTTCAAGAATTTCAGGTATTTTAAGATTGTATTCATAGCAGTGTGTATTTTGTACTACAACATGTCTGGAGTGGACCTTGATGGAGAATTCCATCAGTAGCTGACAGGATTCAGTCTCCAGAAAATACACCAAAATCAAAAACATATTTTTCCTCTTACCTGCAGTGCAATTAATCAATCTAGATTTTTTTTTTGGTGTCGGCCTAGAGATGTTTGCCTTCTCTCCAATATAATGGAACTTGATGGCACTTGAATTAGTTTCTACATGAAACTACAACAACAAGCTAGGTCTGTGGATTATCTCGAGTAACCGGTTCATGATTTCTGGAAAGAGACATTGAGTCGCAGCTCAACTGAACACACCGTTGAGTTTTTCAAATGTATTTTTGGTGCTTTGAACACCACAAGCCAAGTGTCATCTAGTTATATTATATTGGAGAAGGCAGACACCTCTGGCTGATACCTCCAAAACAATGCAACTCACATCAAAACAATCTAGGTTTAAAAGCATCTCATGTAAAAATGGATCTCTTTTACAGCAGACATTTTGTCACACCAGCGAAAGCACAGGTGTTACTAATAAATTAGGACTAAAATTACTTTTGTCCCAAACACAGTCTGTGCACATGCATGTCTTCAGAGAGGTCAGCGCTCTGCTCAGTGCCAGGAATAAGAATCTGACAGGACATCCCCTGCAGTATTCAGCAACATGTAGTACATTTAAAGAGCACGTGTGCCTGGATGCTGCACATCGACTCCTATGTGTTTACTGTTCTGTCCAGCTGTGCCCACACAGCAGCACCTTGAATGAGACATTAATGACTCATCGTATTAGAGCTTTTGTAGAACGCTTCAAATGTCAGCAGTAACTGCAAAAGCATCCACCTTGATAACTCATGTAGTTTAGCAATGAGTCATTTTACTGTGATCAACACAGACATATTCCACACATAGTGTGGGAGTGCATACAGAAAAAATAACCCCATCAAAATTAAAAAATACAAATCTTAAATTTCACTTGTTGCTGTATAAACATTTATCTTTATGTATAGATTTATTTTTTTGTTTTACAAAACAAGGGCAGCACTACACTTTACTTTTACAAGACTAAAATGTGAATATGATTAATTTAAGTATTTTAAACTACAATTGTACTTAATGTACATACATTTATGTAGTATACCTTAAATATTGAATATTGTTATTTTGAAACAATAAGTATTATATCCAACTACACTTGTTTTGTATAAACAGTAAACGTTTTGCATGTAATTTGGGTATACTTAAATCTTTTAAATAAGAACTTAAAATCCAAACATACAAGACGTATTTGTTTAATATACTTATAAGTTGATACCATACCTGGAAGAGGTATATAGACAAGTGTATTTGAATACAGGACGTTATAACATTATCGCGTGTTAAAATAGCACTGTCAGTGTATTTTAATTATTACACATTATTAATACTTACTCGTAGTCAATCTGTAAGAGTGAATATTTCCTGTGCGTCACTGAAAATATAGCAGGTGGACAATAAAACAGAACCAAATAGGAAATACTTTTTTCGCTCCACTTCATGTAATATAATCAGCCCTAGACATGCACAGCAGCAAACATTTGAACATTTCCTTTCTTACTTAAAGAACAAGAGGAGTATCAAGAACTCAGACGAAATGACACTCAGGCTGTTAAAACTGCTGTTTATGATGCTGCGTAAGAGACAGGGAGTGCAAAGAAGTTGTTAATAGTGTTGGTAAGCTTGTTGAAAAGAGTGAAGAGGTGGTGCATTACTCAACATGCATCAACATAAAAAAGAACACACACACACACAAACAAACACCTGTTGCAGCTCTGAATGAATGATTTTATTCCCTCTAGTAAAAAACATAGGAAATAACAGTGCTTAAGCTGAGGCAGCAACGTATATATCATCATAGCAGACATTTGTGTTCCCATGATTCACACACACATACAGTTGAGAGAGATGACTGCGTTCATTTAATGCTGATCCCAGTGACACACGGCAGAGTATTTCCTGATAGAAACCACCAACAAGATTGTCAGCTTTTACATTCTCATGTTAGCCCTTCAAAAGTGTAAAACAGAAATATAACTTGGGAACAAAACTGTTTCAGAAATAATCTCTGTTGAACAGATGAACGTACTGATATGTGAACTGCCACAAAACTGAAGAGGAAAAGTAAAATAAAGGCCAAAAATTAAACAGGTTGCTTGTTTTCATACATTTCATATTAGCGTGACTGAGTTAACTGCAGGTTTGTTCTTTTTGGTCTGTTGGTCCGTCTCTGGGTTTGCCATCCTGTAGCCTCAGATCTTCTTTCTTTACTCCTTCAGCCAGCTGAGCAGCTGAGGTGTGTAATAGGTGATGATGATGTCAGCGCCTGCATCACAGAGCAAGGAGAAACAAAACAAAAAAAATGCACAAAGTCAGATTACATCTAGAGCTGAACAGAGACTGATTCAAAGTGACATCAATTTACAGTTACATGTGTCCATATTTGGAGACAAAATAGTTTTGTTGCACTTTTTAGATACCCGTGTCCCTAAGTAAGAAATAATGAACACATACTGCTACTTGTTTTTTCCATTCCTCACATACTGTAACTACTCGGCAGGCTTTTCACTCCACCTTTGAAGGGTGACAATAAACAACAACCACAAACTCTTTTGTCTGAAGACATACAGTAGTAGTACGAGATGTTCTACGACCTAGTTAATTTCAAGCAATAGGAGACCTTGAGCCGACTGAATCTAAACAGGCAGTTTGCTTGTGAAAACAAAACTGGCGTTTGAAGATTCATCCACTCTCAGTTTGTGAGTGTTTTCAAAATCTGGCTCAGTGTGGATGAGAGCCGAACCGGGGGAGAGGAAAAAAATGTGTTTTCAAGCTTAGCCAATTTAGTGTGGACACGGTCTTTGTTCAGGTGATGCGAGCATCAACTCCCCCGTCTCCTCTCCTCCCCTCTCACCTGCCCTGCGGAAGGCGGTCATGGCCTCCATCACGGCGGCCCGCAGGTCGAACGCTCCGGCCTGCGCTCCATGCCACATCATGGCAAACTCCCCCGACACGTTGTACACCGCCAGGGGGTGAGTCGGGAACTGAGGAGAGACGCGAGAGGGAAAACAAAGATTAATCGCAACGTGGAAACTTCCTCCAAAAAGACACAATACATCCAAAACGATGGGCGGAAGAATGAATGTCTTCTGTGTTTCAAAGCAACCAAACGTGTTTCCCAAAATGCACCACACTGACATTGTTCTTCATTGACCCATAACTGGTTTGGTTACATACCTTGTTCTTGACTTCTCTCACGATGTCCAGATAAGGCAGACCAGGTTTCACCATCAGCATATCAGCTCCCTCTCTCACGTCTCGCTCCTGCAGCACAGAACAACGGTGAGACAACCGCTTCAACACCCCACAACCCCGAATGTTCACACGCAAACACGCTTACCACGGCCCGAAGGGCGAGTCCTCTCGCTCCGGGAGGCAGCTGGTAGCATCGCCTGTCCCCAAACGCGGGTTTGGACTGTGCAGCATCTCTGTATACAAGGACAGCAGGAAGCTTCAGTCTAGTGTAACTTCACAGAGCTCATCTGTGTACATTCCATCTTAAAGCGCCTTCTTACCTGAACGGGCCGTAATAACAAGAGGCAAACTTTGCACTGTAGCTCAGCACTGAAGCCTGGAGGAGCGTAAAGAGAAAAAAGATGCAAAGAAACTATCACCAACAATGAATGTATCCTACTAACAAGTATTGTGTGTATCAACGCCTACTATATTTTATTCCTATGTGCCACAGAGGAGTGTTATTAAACTTTTAAAATGAGCCACACTGTTGCTCTGGGGGACACGTTCCTTCATTACAATGAACAATCACTCTGAAGTTAATTTTGACTCAATTCCAAAGACACCATTCTGCTGCTGTAAACACTCACTAAAGCACCAAATTTGTAGTAATCCATGACAGAAAATAGTCCCCATCAAATGCATGCTTTTTTCCTGTTGGAGTAATGTTTGCTAAAACCTACAGTGCCCAGCTGTTTAAGGAAATTACTGAGCCCTTTTCTTTTCATTTCTTCATTACTGTTTTTAAGGATTTACATCTCCTCTTGAGCTTTTGTGGGACCATGATCACTTCCATTGAGGTTTGCCATTGAGTTTCTACGTGCATCTTTCTTCAAACTGCAGGGGTTTTAGGTCCATTACCTTGTTTCCCATACCATTAGATATCAGGGCATGTTTTATGGCTCTGACTCTTCCATCCATCATATCAGAGGGAGCGATGATGTGACAGCCTGCAGAGCAAGACAACACGATTAGCGTCAGTCACTATAGGATGACGTCAGCTTTAAAAAGCTATGTCCGTTTGGAATTTAATTAGTCAAATTAAAAAAATGTCTTAATGTTTGTTCGTAAAGTGGAGACATTCTTGTCTTGAGAAATAGAATTTACCAGCTCGAGCGTAGGCCAGAGACACTTCCGCCAGACGCAGACAGCTGGCGTCATTGTTCAGAGTACCGTCATCGTTCAGGATACCTGCAGGAAAAATACGTGCGCATTATTTCTCTCCCTTTCACGCTGCTCTGTCAGTTAAATAAACAGAAGGCAAGTCGTCATCGAAGACACTGACCACAGTGTCCGTGCGAGGTGTAGGGACACAAGCAGACGTCGCACGCCACCAGCAGCTCCGGGAACAAAGATCTGATCTTCTTCACCGCCAGTACAGCCGGCGTGTCGTCTGTGTCGGCGCCTGAACCCCTGTCGTCCTAACGGGGAAGAGACGAGACCACAGTGTGTGATCGAGCGTGAAGAAGCAGGTTTGCTTCCACTCAGATTGTCTCTAACAATAACCCTGGACATCAGTCTGCTTGTAAACAGGGTTTTCAGGGATTTGCTCCCATCACAAGAGCATTGGTGCGGTCCAACACTGACGCTGGGCAGGCCAGTCAAGTTATTCTACACCGTGCCAAGCAAAAACCATGAAAAACAGCCCCTCACCAAATGTCCACATATTGTATTTTTATGAAATGTAGTAGTAGTAGTAAGGAATTAGTGCTGTGATGTTGGATGTTACAGAGACTGTGATGAATGCAGATCCCACTGTTGTGATTGTTCAGATTTTATGCATATGGTGGCATGTTCTTTACACTAAATCTGATTTATATATTATATACATATATTGAATCATAACCCACCTATCATGATATATATTGTATTGCCAGATTCTTGCTACTACACAGCCCTAATTCATTGCAATTGAATGATTTGAAAGGCCTTATATTGTTGCTTTGAGTTCAATTTACGCGGAATTAGAAAGCCAAACATTTATTAAAGAAAAATAAACATTAGAAAAAGATTGATTTGGCAATAAAAAAAGGCAAACACAAGACTGCGGGATCACATTCCTATTACTGTTTAATTGAACTACTTTCAGATGACTGTTGAGCAAAAGCAAACAAGGCCCAGAAACACATTTCAGTTGGAGTACTCAATGTGTTTTTTCCCCCCCACACCTCTTAGTTTTACATACCTTTTCTATATTTGCAGGCACACCAAAGATCAGCACACATTTCAAGCCGTTCTCCACAAGCGGCCGCAACATTCCCTCCAGCTTGTTCACCCCGTATCTATGGACGGGGATACATATAATAAGGACGTAAAGGGGTCTTTCAGGGAATGTCTGAAAACAATCTTCCTTATCAAGTTTTATTCAAAGCAAGAAACTACATTACTATACATATTGACAGAAAATGTTACATTTCAAACATAGACTTAGAGAACTGTGTGTAGTTAAGTCCCTGTGTTTTGTGATTCAGGTCACAAAAAGCGAAGGCAGGTTTGAGGTTTGTTGTGTGAGAAACAAAAGTCTAACGGATTCTTTTCTTATCTTGGTCCAGGTCCAGCGGTTGGCTCCGGGTCCACCCTGCCTGACTACTGTTATCTGAAGACAACACACTCAGTGGGTACACAGCTGCAGGGTGACACTGTGTGTGTGTCATGTGATTATTGTTTAAATTAGGACTTTAATCCCCCCCTGCAGACATTTGTTTTCCTTGTGGTTTCTCACAAAAGCAGGTGCTTTGTTGTAAGAGACTGCACCTTTGGGATGGCTATGATAGGAGTCGTTGCTCTTACCTGGCCTGTCCCGGCAGGCTGCCAATGGGCTCCACGGCATCTGCACTGTCTCTGTAGGAGAGAGTGACAAAGAACCAAGATTGACACCTAGTCCATTTAAGCTTGACATAAAAATATTGTACTATATCCAATTCCTTGTGGGGAAAAAATAGTCCATGATTGTTGACCCCAGATCTCATCAGTCAAACTCCTGTACATTTGTTATTTTGCCTTTTCATGCGATTGGAATTTGGAAATATTTGTAGGGATTTCATTTACGTGATGAAGATCGGGTAGATGAGATTGTCAGGTCTTATATCGGTGGCGCAGGTCTGCCAGTATCGGAGCGTTGGATGGAAATAGCCGCTGTGGATGATGGACTCCGCTGGTGTCTGCATCTTTACTCTGAGACAGAGAGAGGCCATTAGTGATAACACACAGAGGGTAACACGGGGAAGAGGTCAGGTCCTGTTTGTCACATTACTGGCTCTCACACTTTACCTCGGCTCAGTCGCCATTAAAACTGAGCAGGCATGCGTGATGCTGCTTCTCTAAACAGCAGCTTGGCTTTGTACTTTCTCACTGCAGAGTAAGCAGGCTGCAGGTCTTCAAACCCTATTAAATAGGAACCTTTTATATTAATGGGCTATTATCCCCCTTCCCCCTTATGCACATGCATTTTCTCAGCACTCATGGCATTATATTTCATTCTTTCACAGCAGGACAAAGATAAGTTTCTTGAATTGTGAATACATTTCATACAAGGGACCATACGGCTGGGTAATGATCAAATAATATAATTTATATTGTGTTGACATATCAGGACCTGCATTGCTAACATGATATCCTCTAAAGCTAACCCTCACTGCAATAATATAATTATCTTACATTTATGACCTTGGATATGACGCAAAGTGGATGCAGAAAATGCCAAACTGTAACTTTAAGATGACATACAGGGCATACATGGAGCAGTGAGCTTTAATTAGACAGGGATTGAAACACACTACAGATTGTTTATCTGCCAAGAGGCACATGTATGTTTTCAGACAGTTTCCTTGCCTGTGTGCTCGTGAGCTATTTAACCAGAAGAAGGCGAAGTTACTATTGCATGTCGTTTGTCACCTTGGCTGGCAAAACTCCTTCATACTACAAGTACAATGTACGGAGACTGTTACAGCCACGAACCAACAGCAAATAATGTGTTGAATCTGTAATATTACAATCCAAAAATGTGAATAAAAACTGCATAAATTCTACAAAAAGTCGGTGTACTTACCTGTGATAACGACAGTCCGCGACTTCTCCACACTTCAGTCAACTCCCAGTGTCTCTTCTTTGGTTTTGTCCGACGGTTCGCGGGCGACGTGATGGCGCACTACCGCCACCTAGTGACTGGAGTACTATTTGTATTAAACCGGAGATAAATACAGAAACCATTCAAATATAAATTATTACATTTTTATTAATATCTAAATGCAACAGAAAACATACAGCACTGGGTGGTTGTTACAGGTGGAACTGTTGGAACACAAACGGATAACATAACTGTAAAATAATTGCGAATTGACCAAAAACTAAATCAGTCCTTTCGGCTCCCGTACAATCTGAATTTACTCGTCTCGCGATATTTCCCAGAAGGCGAGAATAAACGAAGCTACGATGCTAATGGTTTGATAGCTTTGTGTACTGACGGTTTGGCTTCCAGCTGGATGGAGAAGAAAACGCCTGTTTGTTATTAAGGTAAAGTAATGTTTAGTCACAGTACAATACATTTCGTACCAGTCAATGCGTGCGTTGTATTGGTTATTAAATAGCCTGTATGACATCTGACTGTCTGTGGTTAGCTTCCGTTGTAGTGCAAGGATCGGCTACAGTCTGTATCATCGATGTAATTGTAGCTCGACTTCATCTGTAACGTTACTATAGCACTACGTGTCATTTCAAACTCTATCTACTATTATCAGCCGGTTTCTAACTGAGGTTATTCAGTCTAAATATTGAACTGACAACGGGATGAAATAATGGAGAAAGATGTCTGTAGTCACTGCCTATCTTCACTGACGTTAGCTGTTTACTAATACAGTGAGATGTGATTTTGGGCCCTGTCTACTCTGCGTTATAGTCAATGTGTGGGTGTATGTTTGGTTGTTTTTCTTCATCAGATCTGTCAGATGTAACACATTGTATCGTCTTTACTAATGTTATGTTTTCTTGGTCATAGACAAGGAAGGGTTTCCAGAGACTGGGAGCACTTCCTGCCATCACCTCCCCCGATCATCATCCTCAGGGTGGATTTGAAGATGTAGCCAAAAGTGAAGTGGGTCATCTTTGCAGTACCTCACCGTTCCTGCCCAGGCTTAATCAGTGACTTCTCACCTCCACCCTCTGCCCCCCCGAAGTCTGGGGCACTTTGGCCCCCAACGTGGGCTGCTTGTGCGTGACTCTGCCGCCCTTATTCAGTACGTCCCTGGTTGAAGACCCTTCTGTCCTCAGCTATGCTGTTCTCCCTGAGGGAACTGGTCCAGTGGCTGGGCTTTGCCACCTTTGAACTCTTCCTCCACCTGCTAGCCTTTCTGGTCTTCAGCATGCTGGTCGCCCTGCGAGCTGACATGTTCACCCCCACGCTGAGCTGGTGGCTGGTGTTTGTCCCGCTGTTTGCCGCCGATGGCCTCAGCACCTACTTCACGGCCATCGTGTCCATCCGGCTCTATCAGGAGAATGAGAAGCGCCTTGCGGTGCTGCGGCTCCTCTGGGTGCTGACGGTGCTCAGCCTGAAGCTGGTGTGCGAGGTGCTGCTGTGCCAGAAGCTGGCGGAGCAGGAGCAAGCCAGGGACCTGTGGTTTGGCCTCATCGTCTCGCCGCTGTTCATCTTGCTGCAGCTGCTGATGATACGAGCGTGCCGCGTCAACTGAGGGGAGGCGATTAGTGGTTGTTCACATCACCGACAACACAGAAACAAAGAGCAATCTTCATCTGCCATTAGAGATTTAAAGCATAACAATGGTGTCATTTATTTTTTGGCTCATTGCTACTTAAATGAACAAATGTCAATTTTTCATTCACGTTTCCTGGTCCAGAATAGAGTTTCTATACATTGGTGTTTCTAATAAGCTACGAAATGAACACACTGCTCGCTTAAGTTATAATGCAGTATTTCTCTCCCCAGAAGAATGGAGGCTATTGTATAGCAGTGCCGTGATTTTGTAATGACAATAATAAGGGAACCAAACTTTTAAACTTTTTGACATCTAGTATAAACATGCATAATGGTACCCATTGCTAAAGTAAACCTCGAGTTGATTTTGAAGACTGAATGGAAGTGAATTGTAGCGAGACAATGAATATCAATAAAATTATTGTTTTTCTGAGCCCCGTTACATCGGGGTGGATTACTGCTGTTCGCTTTCGATACTGTTAGGAATACAAAGAGTCAGCAGTAAATCTGTATTTGGGACATGATGTGCCTTTACATTGTGCAATCAATGTTAGACAATGAGCCATGAGGAAAATGTATACCAGAGTTATGTTTTAATGCACGTGTGCACAGTGCACGTGTAAATATAATAAACAGGTGAAACCCAAAGGCTGCAATGCCCCAGACACCTTTTTGGGCAACTGTTGTGGGTAACAGCTCAATAAGTTGCTGCACCACCTTTGATGCTTTTCTCCCCCCTATAGGAAGACATTGCTTGCCAGCACAATTTGGTTATGTTTATTATCATGTGTCTCACTTTGTTGCCTGTTAGAAGAAGTGTTGCTCACACAATTCCCCCCCCCCTTCCCCCCCCCACAAGTTGCCTAGCTTGTATCAATGAGAACGGTCTGAACAGCAAGAAGCTGTTTCTGAAACTTGTTGTCGGCTCATAGTCTCACCCCAAATGTAGAAGAACTGAATGTGATTTCTGCCAAGCAGTCAGTTGTGTGCACACGTCTTCCCTGTATATTGCTGTTTATTTGTACAATATGTAATGTATTTGATCTGAGTTTGATCCTTCCTTGTGTATGTACTGCATGTGTTTAAGGTCTCTTTTAAAGGTAATTCCCAATGTCATATTTTGGGTAATATGTTGATTTTGGAAAGAAATTAGTGGAATGTTATTTATGTTCTCATGCTTTTGTTATGGCACTCCTATGGTCATCTGTACATATGTGTAAATAAACCATCAACATTCATCCAATGTCGTCTAATGCAGGGGTTCTTAACCTTTTTGACCTCGGGGCCCAACTTTTCAAGTACAAAGTGTCCCGGGGCCCATTCAAATATTAACACTATTAGCTTAACTAATTGATCTCACTCTTGGTTTGATTTGTATTCAATAACTATATTGTTACCTGTTCAACTCCACCCCTATTTTGGAGCAAAACCGCCTAAAGTGACATACCCAAATTCAAATGGCTGTAGCTTCTGAACCACTGTGACTATATGCATCAAAAGTGTCAGAAAACCTGTAGGTCATATAGAAACAGAGCAGTGGGCCTTTGGAGTCAGTAAAAATTGAAGATTTTTGTCCGCATAAAATAAAAAAGTATCTTTCAGTATAAATAACTGCCTGTGGCTGTATCTGTACAGGTAAATGACAGTATACCGCTGTAACTACACTATCAGTGAACAACTGCGTCAAATTTGAAGAAGATTGGACAAAGTATGACGATTCTACAGTGTTTCTTCCATGAAGAGATCCAGGCGGAGCTCTAAAAGGATATTTGGAGACCCAAATGGACACATGGTAACCAAATGATATTCTGACACACTAAAGGTGTTTCTCCCTTTTTATTTTGATATTATATTATTTTCCTTTATTTTTAGCCTTTGCAAAAACCAAGTATATATGGTCGAAGACGTGGTATGTAAGTAGCGGACTTACTGAGCGTAATGGCTGCGACTGAGCGTACGATCGAGTACGAGGGTAGCTCAGTTACGCAAAGTTATACGTTGGTTGACAGCTTATAAAAGAGAAAGTTAAGGTTTGTACTTTAAGTACTAGCGTTTTCTGAAGCTACTAGCTCCATGGTAACATCCGCTAGCACATTGTTGGGTCTGTAATGTGTCTTTTTCCGTCGAAATGCTGCAAGATCCGACTTGCAGCGGTTATGGCGACTTTTGTGAAAAAATCTATAAGAAATGAAAGAAAATCGATGATTTCTTTGCAAAGATGAGGGTTTTGGGCATGCTGGGATACCAAACACGGCCATGTTTTGTGACGTAGTTTGCACAAGCAAGCCGTAGGAACGGAAGGGGAGGGGAGGGGATCGAGGACGCCGGCATCCTCGCGGAGTTGAACAGGCAAAACCCTTGTCAAATAAATGAGATGATACAATGTGATGATCACAAAGACATTTATTTATCATGTGTATGTAAACCTGCATACACAACAAGAAGCCCAACAGGCTTTCCCACGAGCGTTGGATGTTTCATCGCTAGGTGTCGCTTTATTTTTGAAGGCTTCAGTGCTTCGTTTGATAGCATTAGCCCACATTCCACACACTGAAAGTGTTAAGGAAGTCAGGATTGTACTTGCACACATTTAGACTTTTGGGGGGGGGGGG